AACACGGTGTATTCCGCATCACCCTCGGTCCCAGCCCTCCCGCGGATCGGATCTCCCTCCGGCCTTCGGCCGTCGGGCGATCCGACCCGCAGTCGGGCCGATACCTCAGGCGATACGGAATACACCGTGTTGTATTCTATATTTATCAAAGCTTATTTGAGAAGATTTCTACATAATAGTGTTTGTGTCTGTCAGTGACCTATGATGTCAAAAGAATACTCTATAGTACACATTGAATTTTCTACAGTATTTTGGACTGGGTCTTGTGAATGAACAAATCTACTGAATCTGACACATAACTGCTTTGACTATACTGTAAACTCTTACATTTCCATGTGTTTGAAATAACATGAATAGACACAACTCAGAGCATAATTATGTGAAGTACGCGCAGGTATGAGCTCAGAGCTTCAAGGGAACTAACTATTGTCTGATTGAATATTCTGAAAATTGTTTTGCTTGCATAAAAATTGTTTTGTTTCCACTTTGGCTACAAGGATAAAGCATTGCAATAAGTTTATTTTCTGCTGTAAATATTTCTGTTTTTCACACAGAAATGTCAGTGTAGATGCAGTATAATATGAATTTGGAGGAACAGAATTTGAAATTCTACAAAAAAATGTCAAACTGTCTGAATGTCTGATGTTGGTAACTTAAGTCATTCATGTTTGGATCATCATTCATAGTGCATACTTTGGACTACAGTGTAACTACTTTTGCTTTGTTTTGATTTTAGCTTGTGTAGAAAATGTTTTTAATGTCGGCAGTCAATTTCTGCATCGCTTTGTCAATTTCTAGATACTTTTGTATGCTGTTAGAAAACACACACTCACCACCCTGGATAGTGAGTGTGTGAGTGTTTTGTATGCTGTTAGAGCAAGAGTAATGATGAACAGGGTCATCTTTCAATGTATTGGCAGCTCACATGTAAGTACAAGTACAACAAGTTGAAAAGTCAGAAAAAGCCAATTTTGTTTGTCTTGTTTGTCTTTGTAACCAGCAAACAGTCTCTCACCAGTTTTGTAAGGTATCTACTGTGTGTAAGAAACAGGAGGAGCCCGTAAAAACCAATGGTCCCAGGCCGGGGTTCGAACCTACAACCTCCCGGGCTCCAGTCAGACACTCTAACCTCTCCGCTAAAAGGTCTAGACCCCTTTGCCGGATCTGTTGGTAGCGCCTATAAACCCCCCACTGTTACATGTGTATCTCGTCGCAAAAGCCCCACCTACATGAGCTATACATAGCGGCGAGAAGCAGAACTCCAGTCAGAAGCTCTGAGAAAGGTGTCTGATAGACACCAAAATGTCAACAAGGTAGATCTTGGTTGTGTAGAAGAAAATTATGAAATGACCTCTTTGTGAACCTAGGTAGCCCAGTGTGCTACCTGAATTTTAGGAATGCCCCCCCCCCCCAAATCATGCCCACTTGGCTTGCACCACTGTATCCGGCAGATGCTTCTTAATTTTAGGTATTAATGGCTATTACTAGTATCAGTTAACTAAAGGCTGTTAGAAATATTGTCAAAGGCTTATGTCTGTAACATTACTTAATTTGAGGAAAGTAGTAACTTATAGGTGGGGCAACCTAATTTTTGCCGTAGGTTGCCTGCTGCCCACTGGGCAACCTTGTTCAAAAAGGATTTTGTACACTGACCTGCCATGATGCCTTTGCTGGCCAGTACCATGATGCCAGCCAATGCTGTACTGAAGATGGCGTTCTGTCCAAAGTTAAGGAGGGCGAGGCTCGTGCTCGTCTTCAGAGAAGCCACCTCATACTGAGCCAGCAACTTGTCATAACGGTCTGCCTCAAATGTCTCATTGTTGAAGTACTGAAAGGGAACAAACAGTTTATAGTAAAGGGGGTTCATTCCTGAAGCTACATGTAACTGACATACCGCACATACAGTCATCTTGAGCCACATACAAGGTGATATCCTGTCTTATATAGTGGAGGGGATTCATTCCTCAAGTTACATGTAACCCACATCTTGCACACGCAGTCGTCCCTCAGTAAGACATGAGGGCATAACATTGGGGCCTGACAGGGATTTGAACCCAGAACCTTCAGATTCAGAGACAACAACCTTAACCACAAGACCACCTTGTCATGCCTTGGCTGTATCTTCAACCTAACTAACTAATAACTAACTAACGAACGAACGAACGAACGAACGAATGAACGAATGCACGAATGCACGAATGCACGAATGCACGAATGAATGAACAAACAAACAAACGAATGAAAGTTTACTATTATTGTTATTAAATTCTTGTGACTACAGGGCGCCCTACCCAAATAGGCTTACAATGTACAAGACACCAACAAAAGAAAACATTATAATAAAAAACGGTACAGAGTCAAATCAAATCAAATCAAATTAAATCAAAAGGTAACATAAGTGGTTCCATAATATATGATGTGCGCACAGTACAGAGATTCAATTCAAATAAAACATGAACAATAATGAGTTCCACTAAATACCTTGACAGTTTCGTAGTTGATGAGCGAGTCGATGGCCATGTTGCCGGCTTGGTTGTCTGCCCGGTTCATCTGCACGCGGAATTTCGTCCTCCAGGCGGTGATGCTGAGGGTGAAGGCGGCGTACGCGCCGATACAGCCCAGCGTGACCGCAGCAAACTGCACCCCACACTTGTACCACTGGAGACACGTGTGATATTATCTTGAAAGTTCATCAATGGGCAACAAAACTTCCCCCTAGTCTCAGGGCTCGAAATTTATTTTTTGGGAATAGGTGCACCGGTGCACCCAGCCTAAAAAATTAAGTGCACAAGGTCTTACTTCTCTTCTGAGCTTGAATCTAAAATGAGAGCTTCAAAATCTCAAACATTACTACAACAAAGATTTTATTATTTTTCTGATACTTAGAGACCAAGAATATCCGGTATACTATTATATGCTTCTAATGTTAAAAATTCCTTTAAAAATATTTGGGTGCACTGGTGCACCTACAGAAAAAAATTGGGTGCACAGCTCCAATTTTGGATGCACTAAGGTGCACATGCACCCAGTATTTAATTTCGAGCCCTGCTACAAGCACTGTCAGTGGTCAAAGCCAGGGCCGTGAACAAATTCAAGAACAAGCTGGATGCTGGATAAAGTAGAGACTGAGACCACACAGGCTAGTTGCCTTCTACCCCAAAGATGGTATGCAGGTATGCGGGTAAGTACAAGTTATTATGATTATGAAGCATTGACAAGCATTGACAATTCTACTTACCAAAATGCCAGTGACAAGTGAGACTTCCAGGATTGTTGGCACCACATTGAAGATCAGAGCAGACAACACAAAGTTGATTCCTCTGTGGGCACACAAAAAATAACTTCAAATCAGTCTCATGCAAATCAAATAACATTCATACCTTATGACAAATTATCCTATGTTTGCGTGCTGCTCTTTTTGCAGATCATATTTTAAGATCTAGTAGGTCTTGTTTTAAGAAGCTCCAAGTTTTGGCACTCAAGTAAAGAGTGGAAAGCCTTTTTGATGTAATTAACACACACACACACACAACAGCTGAAAAAGAAGAGAAGATTTGATTGCACAACAACTGTAGCAGGTACACAGTATGACAGCTAGCCAACACAATGTCACTTTGGATCTGTCCAACAAATTTGATGGTCTCTTGGACACAATTTGAAGATCTGCTTGGAGATTTAAAAAATTGCTTCAAACTACTAGCTCACCGAGTCCCCCTGTCGATTGCCTTGGAAAGTGCACCTTTCTGGTGGAAGCTAAGGTCCAGGTTGTGAACTATTGCTAAACAAATATATAGTAGCTCTAAGAGTTATTGACCTACTTTTATAATTAACAGTGAAGACACATATGACATTGTCCTAAACGAACAATAGCTCACCGAGTCCCCCTGTCGATTGCCTTGGAAAGTGCACCTGTCTGCCTGGAGAGGTGGAAGCTCCAGTCCAGCTCGTGAACTTTTGCTAATATCTAATAACTCTAAGAGACTGCTCAACACATATGACATTGCCCTAAATACCGGTAACTTCTAATGGCTCACCGAGTCCCCCTGTCGATTGCCTTGGAAAGTGCACCTGTCTGTCTGGAGAGGTGGAAGCTGAGGTCCAGGTTGTGGAGGTGCAGAAAGACGTTCCTGGCGACGCGACGGATCGAGCTCTGCGCCACCTTCGCAAAAATCGCGTTTCTCAGCTCGTTAAATCCCGCCGCTCCCGCCCTGGCAATGCCATCTGTGTGTCATGCAAGCAGATAATATTCAATATCTTATTACATGTATTTTCTGACGATTGGGCATTTATAATTATATACTTATCCAGCCCTCTCCTCACATGTACACATAAAATGTAAGTAATAATAAAGAAGAGAAAACAAAGATTGAAAGAAGTACAAGTACATACTCAGTTCATACATTCCATACATTCCACATCTTATTCAGTTTTACATTAGTTACTATTTTCTGCTAAATGCGCATATACATGTACATAAGAATAAAATGAACACTGAAACCATGGAATATGAGTAATGACAAAAAGAAACAAACTTAAAGAACCGAATAAAGTCAACTGCCCTATACATGTAGCAATAAGACCACTTTGGAGAGATAAAATCTGGTCTATGTGGACTAGTAAGTGGTCACTATAGACACTGGATTCTGACCGGGACAACTTACATCCAATGACGAGCGCGGTTGCGAAGGTGATGATAGTGTTGGCGGGGTTGTCCAGGTTGAACAGAGCAGGCTGGTTGAGCTTTCAACACAAGCATACACTGCCAGCTTTTGGCATTGTCATATATCTATTGTACTTATCTAGCTCCTAGAACTTACTGTAGTCAACTTTGCCTTTGGCTTTGCACTAAAGAACAATATCTGAGCAATACCATTAAAGAAAACAACAACTTACATCCAATGACGAGTGCGGTTGCGAAGGTGATGATAGTGTTGGCAGGGTTATCCAGGTTGAACAGAGCAGGCTGGTTGAGGTAGTCTACAGCGTACTTAAAGATGAAGGGGACCTGGACATTCAGCAGCTGGGAACATACAGAAAACATGGGGTGCAATACTTCACACAGATGCAAGGAAGAGCTGCAATACATACATGTATGTAGACTGTGTCACACACAAAAAAAATGTACAGCTACTACACTAGGGGGTTTTCTAGAGAAATTTAGCATGAGGGAGCAGATCGCAATCATGGGGGAGTGAAGCAACCGGGGAGAGTAACACAGTTTGTAATTCTAGAATTTTATTGTTGTATTGTTTTTATGGTACATCTTTACTGGAAAAAGATCATTTTGAGAAAGACTAAAAAAAAATGGTGTGTATTTATAGGAGAGTGAAATAAAAGTGAAATGATACGATGCGTGTACATAGAATATGTATTTATTTATTTATTAAAAGAGGGAAATATAATCTTCACACCCAGAAGAAATATGACAATCTTAAGGTCCCCACCTTGGCTCCTACGAGCAGCCCGAGTGCCACGACCACCCTAGTCTTGATGTCTGTCCTTCCTTTAGGCCAGACATACCGCAGCATGTTCCTGACTATCTGCAGGCCTGCCACCCTGTCCTCAGGGACTCCCTTCACACCTATGGGGATAGAGGAGTCCCCACCGCTACCGTGGACTGAACAGTCTCTCTTGGGCAGCTTCGTAGGTTTCTGTTATCAAGGGGAGTCGAAAACAATGTTAAGAATCATTTTCTTAAAAATTAAAGGAAGTTTGCCCCAAAGATATCTGAGTGGGAGAGATGTCACCATGTTACTGCACATATGATACATGATTATCTGATTATCAACAAGACAGCAATTTGAAAATAAGATTGTAACTAATACGTTTTGGTCAAGAAGTAGATTTACTTTTAAATCTAGTAAATACAACTACTTATCATAATAAACAAAATTCCTTTTTTCTAAACTGCTCTTCTCAAAGTGTATTACATACTGATAGACACTGATCTGCTTACGTATACACACATCCCATCACCTGAATCAAGTCTAGAGGGACACCAGGAAAAAAAGTTCAGTGCCTACGTAAAACAAAAGACACAAAACACAACACCAGTGTGCATGTTACTAAGTATGTACTGTACAAAAAATTGTATATGCCGGTATAAGGAAGAGTAGACTAAGCGTTACAATAGACTAAGTTCAGTATCTACCTAAAAAAGAAAAAGACACAAAACACAACACCGGTGTACCTGTTATGTGCTGTACCAATACATGTACATATAATGAAGAGTAGGCTTAGTGTTGTTACACCAGAAAAAAGTTCAGTGTCTACCTTAAAGAAAAAAGACACAAAACACAACACTGGTGTGCTTGTTATATATATATTATGTGCTGTACATATAACAGCCTATTTTGCCATGGCTGCATGGTAGGCCAGCCTGTAAGACAGGACATAGTTATAATTAGAAGGACAGAAGCCCTCTCCACCAATGGGAGTACATCCTGAGGTTCACCTGCACTTTTGATGTCGCCTGTGTTGTCATACGCTTTCCCAACGCTCCTGCTCCATTTGCAGCCTTATAAAGTGAAACAGAAAGAGAGACAAAATCAGTGAGAAGTACACAAATTATCATAAGTTTTTTTTCATTAATATCATGACCAGCTTGTATTTAAAAGGTTACACTTTTGCTCTATCTGGCCCTGTTAAAAAAGTCCTTGTCTACACATACATTGTAGCTCCACAAACTTTAAAGCACAGACTGTGACGCTCAGGACAAAGACAACGAGTAGCTACTTCAAGACCTTGAGCTTGGAGAGAGATGATGTCCCTAATGTTATAACCAAAGCTCACAGTACTCACTTTCGCCTGAGTCAAGGAAATACAAATGTAGGTGTAAAATGCCTTTCCAAAGGGCACACCATCGCGGCCTGCTACTTGTAGGTATTTGAACCCATAAATTTCATATTCTGAATCAACAACCTGAATCACAACATGACGTTTGAACCCAGTCTTGTATGTATGTGCTCTAGCCTACTCCTGAGGGTCAGTATGTACCCCACCAACAATGTTGGGAGTAGACCAAAGCTAACAGGCTGGACTCCAGGCTACAAGACCACTTTGCCACCTTGATGTGTATATCTACCCGATACCATTAATTCCTGCTCACCTGTTGTGACCTGGACAGGTGAGGTGCTGCAGCTCTCCAGGTAGGGGGAAATCTCCAGGCTGATGACCTGCCATGATGCTGGTGCTGAAAATTAAAAAAAAAAACAGGTTGTAAAACACTTTTCCCCAGAATAAAGTTTACCAAATAAGCAAGGAGGTTAAGTGTGTTGAACGTCCTTGGTTTGATGCAAGTCACTTCCTTAGGGACTGTACGATATTTACCGGG